GCATAAAGTTTTGGAATTGACTGTATAGCCAATACATCCTTAATGCTTACTTGATTGGGCGTAGCCGTGTAGCGTCGTATCGAGGAGCCACGGCTTCCGATGGAGTTGTTAGGACTGAGGCTACGATTATTGCTTGTTAGGACGGTCGTTCGATTGTTCGGCGTGTCACTTTGCGTGTCGTTCCTTATCGAACCATGTAAATAACCGCCGTTGAAGCTGAAACGTAATTTCACGGCATTTATGTAAATATGTGCCCATTACTTACAACTGCACGACATGCCAAAATATGTAACGTGCGATCTTAGTTAATCTATATAGAATTTTTTTAATTGCAAAAACTACACATATTCGTTTTACTTAGACTTACGTCGAATTTGTGCCGATTAGAGTACTCCGACCGTTATTCAGGACAGTGGCTCTGCCAAGGGGCTCGTCCTCCGTTTGCGACCAGCGTTTCCTCCTAAGGGATGGTCGCGTCAATTTCCACGAGTAACCCCTTTGTATCCTCGGCGAGCTGTAACAAAATTTCAAAGACATTCGTGATTCCATTTCATTTCCAATGACTTGTGCCATCTTTGGAGTTTATTCGAGATCTGTTTTAAGTCTTGCGTTTTACACGTACCCCGGACTGGATGATTCTCTGTTCGCCGGGTTAACAACAGCAGTGACGAGACTTATTCTTCGTGGAAACTGGCCGGCGATGAGGTTCTTAGTCGGTATTTTATTCGAAACGTCTGGTAACTTTAACAACCCGGAAGGTATGCTACATTGGCTCTATAAAAAAAATATGCGAAATTCTGATAAATTTCGGCACTTCGTCCAGAGGCAAAATAAATTCTCCGTCATCGTTCAAACGTGCTTCGTAATCATTGAAATAATCTAGAATGGTTTTCTTGTTAAAGAATAAAATACACGCGATTGAACGGTCAAAGGACGAATGATTCCTAAAAAGGAAAACAGAATACGTACGCCTGAGCGATCGATAGATTCGATCGAGAGAGCCGCTGTGGGATAAACGGCACGGCAGTTCAAGTCTCTGTAGCCAACGTCGAGGGTGGTGTTCGGCGAGTCTTGGGGGGTAGCTGCCGTGTGGGTGATTATCGGCGGTTGACCCGCCGCGCCCATCATTTTGTTCTCCTTCTGTATGTTACACTTCGGCTCGTCCAGCTGATGCCGCCAAACCGTGTTCTGTTTCTCCCTGCTGTTGTTGTCTTTGTACTTTCGCAACTCCTCCGCGCTCTGCCACGAATTCTTTCGGTCCTACGTTAAACGTGAGCCATCAAAATTCTTGGCTTGCACCATTCGTACGAAGCTATCAGCTCGCAGATTTTATGGATTTATAGTAGAAAATAGAAAGTTCATTTTTTAACTATCGCAACTGATTGCCTTATCTTTGGAAACGTGTAACATTGCACGTGGTTGTTCTTTTTTTGGAACAGTTTTCTGTCTGAAAACATCTTACCTGAGTATAAGTATCGCTATCAGTGATCGAATGAGATCTCGATATCCTCGATGATCCATCGTCGCTTCCCATGCCTGCTTCCTTCGCTGCAAGCTTAGCCATTTCCCTCTGCTCTCGTTCTCTCCTTTCATTTCTCTGCACAATTAAATCGATATCCAGCGTCTCAAAAAGATATCATTAACGACCGTACATATTATTCATTATTCATATATGACAAAAGAATTGCGAAACGTTTTTCAAGGATATTTTCCAATTGTCGACGGTCTTTCACGGGTTCCTAATCATTTTAGTGATTCAGAAAGAGCTAAAAATGCCTCTCAGTAGCAGCGGTAGTTTCATTACGCGCGACGAAATGGAAGTAAAACGTAATTTCACCTCCGAGGAGAAACCCTCGACGAGAATGGCGACCAGCAGATTGAAGAGGACGTAATTTCCAAAAGTCATCAACGCGACGAAGTAAAGAGCCGCCCAGTGAGACGTTTTCTGCATACCGTTGAATAATACGACGTTCCAATCCTCCTGCGTCAAGATCTGTATAAAGAGAAAGAAAAGGGAAAGATATCCCGTTACATATACGGCGGCGAACGGGTTTCATCGTTTATTTGTGAGGCGAACGACGGACAAAAGAGATAAGTACTAATTAACGTGGCAGACATGGTCCACGGCTATAGATTTATTCCCGATGAGAGAACTGCTCTATCGTCACATCGAGACGGCCGCGTCGTTTACTCGCGAGAGAACTGTGCTTAGAAATCTCTTTGATCGCTGGTTCTACTCACTGAGAAATCGTAGGAAACCAGACAAAAATAAAAAAAAATAAAGAGAGAGCTTGGAGGAAAACTATACCGCCACATTGTCGCCTCGTATTCTTTTTTTCTACGGACATAAGTTGCACCCACTTGAATCGCGAATTTCTCTCTGTACGTTCTTCGACAAAGGGTCTCTTGTTATTTTCTTTCTCGTAACTCGGACGTGTACGGGCTTTTATTTTGATCTTTCTTGCCTTCTAGCGTACGCGTTGGCTGTGAACACAACGGCACCGTCGTGACGCGCTCGTTTTATTAAAAAGCTCGTGACAACAATACACGACGGATACACGCGTGTAATAAACGTAATCCGTGAAATCGATTAGCTCCTCGTCGCCCGACGACGAACCGTGTTAATCGCCCGACAAACAAATCGTTGCTTACTCGCTCCCGTTTACTCTATGCGTGTCGCCAATCGTACAAATTTCTGCGAGGTTCGCGATTAAAAAAAAAAAAATTCAAATAAGAAGAGAGAGAGAGGTAAGAGAGAAACTCGTCGACGCATTGCTAAAAAATCTGTTATCATGACGCTTCGTTAAGCTGTGTATAAGCGTAGAGAAAGAGAAGTAGAGCGAGAGAAGTGAGAGATAGAGAAAGAAAGTAAGAGAGAAAGAAAGAAATAGATGGAAACGGGGAAGAGAGGAGGAAGAGAAGAAATGGTCGAGTATATACTGCTGCGATGTATAACATTTTCGTACTTGATGATGTCAAGAAAATAAGCTGGAGTGCGAGATGGAGGCGAGAAAGCGATAGAAAACTCGTACACAATATTATGTAACACATGTATACATATAGATATGAATAAATATAGACATAGTGTTATAGGTACAGATATAGATGCAGATAATAGATATATGGAGACATGGAATATAGATATAGATATAGACATCGACATAGACACGTATAGAATATAGATATATAAACAGAGCGGTAGACATAGAATACAGGTGAACAGATCATAGATAGAGATGTAGGTATAGACATAGACGTAGGTGTATAGATATAGTAGTTGGGGTAATAGATATAGTAGTAAGTATAAATGTGTGTGTGCTCGTAAAATACTTAGCGCATATGCAGCAGGTGTGTAGTAGTAGTAGTAGTAGTAGTAGTAGTAGTAGTAGTAGTTCTTTTTTTTTAATTTTTCTGTGTAAGAGAGAGGGGAACAGTGGTACCTGAAAGACCGTGACTAGTGCCCAGACGATGTCGTTGAAATGTTTGCGATCACAGCGACACATTGGGTGCCGCGAGACCACCTCGGCACAGGTGCAGGGCCGACTCCGGTCCGCCCACATGCAAAACTTACCCCCGAACAGGTACATCCCTAGGATGCTGTAACCGAGACAATCCGCTGGCCTAAAGTATCACCGCGATGAACGATCAACGAGGTGGTGGGGAGCTCGGGATACCGACACGCTGGTCCGCGGAAAGCATCTTCGTTCCCTCTCATTTCTTTCCATCCTTCGAATCAATCCTTCAATATTTCATGTCCCAGGTTCTTAAGGGATCGCGAAACGTTTCCCGGGGAATCTGGGTTACCGTTAGTCGTAATCATTTCTGTAGAAAACTTCACCGTGGTTCTTCTCAATACAACAGTAAGCACAGCCAGAGTCGTGAATAAAAAAGACATTGACAACGTAATATTTTAGAAAGATTGAAAAAGAATCGAGATCTGTTAAACCGAAGATAGAGTTTTGCTCCGGACGTTCGTCCGTTGTTACATGGTACTATAGAATGAATGAAGGGAACGTAAAAATGGTGAAGAAATTGAATCTTATCGATCTTCCTCCCGTGTCCGCTTTGTGGAGAATACGGTCGGGCGATTCGAATGTAAAGCTATGGTAAAAATACGTATCCGGGTTACGTAATCCCTTAAGCGGTGCTTTGGCTCTGGCCGGTCGAATACGGCCGTGAATATTTTAGTCGGTAATTTCCAGCCGGAATTGCCGCGGCCGTTTGCCGGTGTGCGTTAGTTAGCGCATTGTTCATCGCAACGAAAATTGCCTATACCCTGAATAGAAATTGAAATTGAAATCGTATTTAAGGAAGCGTTGAATTATGCCACGAATTCGTCCTCGGCCAAGGCTCGGCTCGCATTAGAGTTTAGAACGTCAGTCCCGGTGGCAGACTTTTCGTTTAACTTTACTACTTGGACAATGAACGGCGTAGCTGGAATTGTTTCGGAAATTTTGCTGATGTTGACTCTCGCGAAAGTATCGAGGACAACTGCATTATATCCTTCGGTTTGTGTGTGCTCACTGTTTCGTGATTATAAGTCGAATTAAAAACAAATAATTTATTAAAAAATTATTAATAAACTTCAGTTGTGCTTTCTCACAATTGATTAAAACTAGAGATAATCGAATGAAACTGATAACAATTCAGAAAACAGAATCGTTTCGTTTTTTAAGTGGAATTTTCACTGGAACGAAGATACTCGACGGACGCAGCGTTGAGCAGGTATTATATCGGGTGAACAGCAAAAAACAACTGTCACTCGAAGCTCGTACAGTCACATTCTGCAAGATCGGCGGTGTTCGTCCATTTATATACAAATATATAAATCGTGTACTTGTATCTTGTACTCGGAGAAAGAAGTATAGGCGTATCATGTAACGTCGTCAAGCGAATATTACACAAGCTGTGCGTACAAACCGTAAGAAAGAACAATGGTAATAAAACGGCTGAAGGAATCGGAAGAATTTACAATAGATACTAATTACACTGTTGTTCGTGTGAAAACTATTTTACACGTGGATAAAATTTTCGTAAGAAAAGCTGTGTAGTGATACTACGTATCAGCGAGATCGCTGACGGTTTTTTCTCTCTCTCTTTTTTGTGTAATATCGTTTGCCTCCTGCGGAACAAATAACAGAAACGTGAAGTGAAAAAGCATACGCGCGTGAAGCTGTACCGTTATACCTGTCGTTGCAGAATGTCACGGTTTCATAAAAGTGAACCAAGAGTAACGAGGAGAACGAAAAGAACAGAAACAAAAAAAATCTCCAAAAAAAAAAGTTAAAAAAACGGCGAAAAGCGTAAATACAATATATATGTATAATAATGTATAATTTCTAAATATTTAAGTAATAAGGTTAAAAATCTGAAAACGAACTTTTAGCGGCTGGTTGCACAAGTACACACTAGCTATCAGATATTATAGCAGTATCTGTAATATTGTCTGTTACGTATCTCATATATATGTTTCTAAAATAAATTAGTATGTCTACCTGGAACTCGAATGGCACGGGTGGGTGGGTATCTGGGTAAACGGGTATAATATATAGGTGTCTATCTACAGTGGCTAAACGGAGAGATATTCGATAATCGTACGCAGATTACGTGTGGGAGACGGTTTTTGTAAATTAATTTCGTTTTTCATTTCGCCTTCCTCGGTTCAACGGACGCGACGGTTTTTGTTCGTAATTTCTCCCTCGCCCTCCCCGGTCGTCGGATGTATGTGCACGCGAATTTCTCTTTTTATTTTCTTTGGAACACAAAGTGGAAGTCGAACGAGAGAGACAGTGACAGACGGCAGAGTCAGAGTAGAGAGTGTGAGAGAAACAGTGTGAGAAACAGATGAACAAAAACAGATACAGGTACAGTGTGTGGAACCGGCGAATTAGATAGTTGATAAACAGAGACACGTTCATGTGTAATGACACCGAGCAACGTTCGAGAGATTATTTTGTGAGAGAAATGACACGGGAAAAATATAATGCTGCTACACTGTTCAAAATTTGATTTTAATAGCCATTGTATTTCGTTCGGTTCGTGTCGATGTCCCGACGTATTTAAAAACTGGTATCATCGTTCAAACGATCTTCATCTTCGCGCCCGCTTATTTATAGACCGCGTTTTTGGTAGCCTGGCACACGGAGCTTCAACTGTTCAATGTTAAACTTTCCACTGCTGCTGTTTTCTCTTTACATTTGCTTCCTGTTTTCTGCTCCTTTCATTACAAGATTTAAGGATGTATTGGCTATACAGTATTTTCAAAAAACCCATGAACTGATTTAAAATTTTGCAGGTAGCTTTTTAATAGTAATAGCAATCTATAATAATAACAAATTCAACATGCTAGCATTGTTTAAGTATATAGCCTATACATCCTTAACATCTGCCTGTGTTACAAATCAATCTGAACATATAAATTTATTTACTTAAAAAAAACAATAGTAAAGAAAATAGAATTTTTATAGACGAAAACCTTCTTCTATTGGGAGCAGAAAAAAATTGGCTCTATATATATAGACAATGTTAAAAACCTGCGTTTATCTTTATTTAACAATTTTTTTTATTGTAACTACTTACAAGTTTTACGATCAAAGAGATAATAAAAGAGTATTTGAGAAACAGCAAGCTTCGTAGAATTTGAAATTGTGTTTCCATTAAAGTCGTCGATCCCTGTGCCGGTCAAAATAGTGTATTGATTCTGATTGCCGTTTTTCACAGTGTAACGGTATACGTATACATGATGGAATGTATAAATATTGTAAGGAAAGGTGTGCATGTCTCGAGACAGATAGGGCCAACAACAGAGCAACGAGAAGCAACAATAACGATCAATCTGGCCCGGTGGGACCACGCATATCAGCATGCAAAAGCGTTGTTATAGGCGCGTAGTACGGGCACAGAGAACGTTGGAACGATAATCAACACGCAACATGCAACGAAACGATCAATCGAAGTAAGCGATCAAAGCTGAAAAAGCGCTGACACGGTGGAGGGAAAAAGGCCGACCGTTTTCCATCTACGCTGATGCAACAGCACAAACAATCTCGGTTACGGTGGCGTAAGAGGAAAAAAACAACGTTCCTCGACTACCTTTCTATCGAGGCACCAAAAAAGAGCACTTTTTTAATCGCTTCCTCGGTTCACGTCGAACACAGAGAAGAGTAGAGATCTTGAGAAAAAGTAACGCAGGCCGTTAATTAAGATAACAAAATGCGCTTGCACTCGGTGACCAAAAAACAGTCAACAACACCAAAAGAAAATAGAAAAATGCAGCGCGAAGCATCGGTCGCAATTGCCAAGAGCAGCGGAACGCAAAATATTCTTGCCAGGCAAAGAGCTTATATCACAGTTTCGGTCGCTGGACGAATGCAATTTGGATCCGTTGCACCTGGAACGATCGAGACAATCTTTTACCGACTTCTAATACTCAGTCGTCTCTGAGATGTGATGTAAGATCTTTCGTTCGTCGATCAGCGGCACAATTCTTGAACGGATTCTAAACGTCTCTTACGCGAATCTATTTCAAGTTACTCCGAGTATACTGACGAGAATAGGATAAGAAATTCCCTGAGAAGATTATGATCTTACAAGTACAGTAGAGCCTCGATTATCCGAGCTGTTCGGATAACAGCGGCTCACCTACTGTCACTGCACCATGTTTTTAAATTCGGATATGCGAGATTAGGATAATAGAGGTTCGCCTCCTGTTCCCGTCCCACTGTAGGGATAACCGACGGTGGCCTCGAAGGGATCAGGACGAAACGAGGTTCTACTGCATGTTCGATCTCTCCTGAACCTAGAACGATCGATTCTACACGAGATTCGCGTAAGGTACGAATAGAAACCGTGCGGCGAGAAGCAAAGGAACGATAGAAAAAGAGTTCGCAGCGAGAAGCATGGTCCAAGGGTCAGCTCGACGCGCGCTGCGTAGGCCAAAAAGTGTGCTTTACGCACTTTTCGAACGCTTTTTACTCTCGCTAAGCAACGATTGCGGATCAGACGAATAAGAAAAAAAAGCGAAGAAACATCATCATCACTATCGTCAGGTTCAGTCGGCTCGAATGATCCGTCGCCTCCTCCTACCTCCAATACGGCTGCATGCCATAAGAGTTTTAACTTAACGTTTCGTGGTATGTATGCATCTCTCATACGTTACCTTGAGGCCCACGCGAAATCATGAATTAGATGACACGGTCTGGCATGGTCGCACGACATATCGTGATCGTAATGTAACAATGTATGTAGAATATATATATATATGTATATATATGTATATATAGGTATATAACTTAGCATACGTGGATGCATGTGTATATTAATGTTAATATAGTATATATAATATGATATACACTATATAGAGGAAAAAAAGCCCTCGAGAAGATACGTGGAAAAGTATCCTTTGTAGGTACCTGAAACACCGTCACAATAGCCCAGAGTAACGAGTCAAAGTTTTTCCTATCACACTCGACGTCAGAGCTGCCTTTCATCGTTTCACAGAATTTGCAACCAAACAGGTTCATCCCGAGAATACTACAACACAACGAAACGTGCAATGTATACTTCCTTATCCGTAAATATACATAGATAGGTAGATACATGAGCGTAGGGGAAGGAGCAGAGAGACAGAAGAACGGTAACAACGAAGGGAGAGTAGAAGGATGACCAGGGTCCGGGAACCGATCGAGGAGACGGAGAATTTAAAAAAAAAAATTGAAATAATAATCAAAAATGAATGTAAAACAAGCTTCCGTCGACTGATATCTTTTAAATCAGGCATGTCCACGGGAGAGTTTGTGACGATCGCGGTTGATATTACACGCGACGAATTGGCACGTACGAACGCGCCCCGTATCTACGACTTCGCCGGTAGTTCGATCTCTTGGTCGAATGCTAGGCCGTTGGAGTGGTAAACTAACGATTCGCGCTGATCGACCTCGGTTAAAGTTTACGCCGACGTACAAATAATCTTCGGATACGTATGGTCACCGATCGGAACCGGATTTCTTAGAATCGATTGTCGTTCAAATGGCCAGCATGGGTAAACGTGAAACACTGTGCGAGTGAGACAGCAGCAGATAGATACATTAGACTTCGGTGATCCTACGCGCACGGTGTAATGGCTTGCCTATTATCGGCTATTAACGTAACGTCGTTTCTCCACTACCTTACGACTCTCCGCTGTGTGCTCGGCTCGTCAGCCTGCGCGGAAGCCAGCGAGAGCACTCCCACCCTCGAAACAGCGGTTTGGACATGCCTGGCTTAAATCGTTCGTCGAAGCCTGACCACGTTGCGCACGTTCTACTTCGTTCGAATTGACGGATCTTCTGCAACTTTGAACCTCAAAGGGTCGTCACAGATCACGAGTTTTCGATAGGAGCCTACAAATATCGGTTTGGTCGAGAGACTCCTATCTTCTGGTCTCTTTACAAGCGTAGCGAGGGATCCAAATACGTTGGACAATCTTTGATTTAAACTATCGGCCAAAAGCATGAAACCTGAGCCGAGTACGTAACGAGGAATCTGACCTAATAGTTTACAACTTTGAATCAATACCAGTTTCAACGTCTGAAATAGTAACGTCGCGTACGAAATTTATTATTAGCCCGTCCAGGTAACGGAAGTCCGCGAACTATTTCTACGTTTCGACAGTTATTTCGAACATCTATCAATCGATATGAAGAAAATATATGATTTACCAACGCAGGATGCTGCAATAATACGAAACACGTTTAGTCCATACAATAAATCCTTAAGTGGTGCAAATCTAATGGTAAAAAAAATTGACACTGAGTATCATGCTTTCGGCCAATGATGTTCCTTTTCGTTTAATCAAAGGAAATAAACAAGAAGAAACGGAATCGTAATCCATGTCAATGTGCAACGATTGAAACTCGTACAAACTGGATCCTCAACGTGAAACTCGAAACCGCGTATGCAGCGACAGCCAAAAATTGATTGCGAGATCTTTATCGATCGTCAAGACGCACGGCGAAAGACCGCGAGAATAGCGGGAAGGCCGTTCAAAATCACGCAGCGTAATCAAATAACCGAAAGAGATATACATGTTCGATCATTCGCAAGCTGTCTAATATCGATGACCACACCGAAGCGCAATTTTAAATAGAGTAACATAGCATAAACAAAAGTGGGAGAGACGGGGCAATAGAATAAGAAAAAATACGTAAATACACGAATAATCAATAAGTAATAGTAGAGATATATATGTATGTATACACGTATATATACATATAGCTCTTCATACTCGTCGCTAGATATAAGCACCATGCATACATGAAAAGTATACGTACGTGTATTGTATATACAGTTCTCTCTCCAAATTATAGTGCAACCGATAAATTACTAAATTATGAAATTTTATAAACAACAATTTTTTTATAATTATTATCTAATTTCATTGAAGATTATTATAATTCTGTCCGAGTTGCAACACAACTTGAAGAACGGCCTGTATATTCGTATACGTACATACACGAATTCGTACCGATATTCATATGTATAACAGGTGTCCTCTAATAAAATAGTAAAAAAAAGGATAGTAATATACACGTTCGATGCCTCAAGCCATGAGAGAGGGCCAACAAGACGCACCTCGTAGACGTGCCAACAAAACACCCAGTCGTCATTAACATTAAACAACGTCAGAAAACGCTGCTCTGCAATAACGCAACGCATCGCAACGCAACGCAACGCAACGCAACGCAACGCAACAGAGTCGGTAGTAACAAACGCAGTAAAAAACGAGAAACTGCTGCGAAGAGACTTCGGTCCGTCTATTATAATAAAAACATGTGAGAGATGCGTTTACGCGGCGGTGATCCGTAATGGCGTGAGAGAAAAGGTATATATATATTATATATATATACATATATATAAAAAGCGCATAAAGAAGAAAAAAGAGACAAGGGGAGTAGTAAAACCGAAGACATAGTCACCTAAATATGTATTACACTTCGTGTTCTCGAAGAGCAGTGACATACAAGCTCCAGCTCCTGTGGAAGCTCGGAAGCGGACAAGAAGCTGTTCTCAAAGTTAGAATAAATGTCAACGAGACCCCGTCGACGGCTTCGAACGAATCTCGATCGGAGATCCGTCTGCAAACGGCAGTTTCGTAATCAGAAATTCAGGCTGCGGTCCCGTTGACACTTAACGCTCCGATCTCGAGTATAAGTCTCTCCACAATAAGTTCGTAACAAGTCCATCGAGATATAAATTCAAACGATCTCAATTCGCATTTGGCGGTCATGCAAACGGTTATGCTGATGAGAGATGATTCATCTGATAAAGAGATTCAGGAGTTGTAACGCGGGAGATTAATCGAGACCCGCGTGAAATCCGTGAAGACGTGATCCAATCGCGAGATGCGTAATAGGTAAATGACACGTGAATCGCGAGCCGCGATCCTGGAACGTGCGTCTCCGATTATATATTAAGGTACCGAATTCAACCCGACGCTGTATCACCGATCGAGAGGGATAGGAAACAACTTACCTGAATATAAAGATGAAAAGTACTAAAAGGGAAAAGAATACGGCAACGTTATCCATTGTGCGGAGCATCACGAACAGCTGTCGTCGGAGATTCGGTAGGAAACGCACGAGCTTCAGGATCCTCAGCAACCGGAAGGTTCTCAACACGCTCAACCCGGAACTTCCTCCGCCTCTCTCCTCTTCAACCAACGATTGACATATCTCCACCACGCTGTGTACACGTCAAACAGAAACCAGTTTCTCCGTTTAAAATCTTACTGGCAACTTTGCTCTTCTACGAATAATCATATCGAAATTAATGAAGATTTTTTTATAATACTCTCTACTGAACAGTGAGATCATAATCCGTATAACTGTCATGAAATTACGCTCAAAATGGGATAGCGTTTCATGGATAGCTGAATAAGTAAAATAATATTTCATATTCTGTTCACGCACCTAAGCATTACGACGACTCCGTCGAAAACGTTGAACCCGTTGCTTATGTATCCGAACGGACCCTCCGCGATTATCTTGAGCAACATTTCCACAGCAAAAACGGCCGAAAATACAATATTGCTTATCTCGACCACTATGGTCAATATCTCTGGCTGTCGACCGAGGAACAGAGAAAAAATTCCACATATTCGGTACACGAATTGTAATTACGAAACATGCATTAATCCCTTGTTGATAGAATTTCATGTTTCAAAAGACAAGGAACTAATTTGTTTCAAATGTTAAAAGAAAATAATTCAACACGTTTATTGATCGTTTTACACAATCTCAGTGAATTGTATTTGTTTAAACGTCAATCGATCTGCATGAGACTTCTAAGTTTCATTTATCATTGACGCTAAATTACGGATAACACTGACCTGATTGTGATATTCTATTCCCATGCTCAAAGTGTTGATTAAAATCGCCAATAAGATACCCTGTTGAAAGTATTTGTGCTCGACCAGCTTCTTGATGGAACGCTTCACACAGCGTAACGCGCACATGCAATGACTCCCGCAGGATCTCACGATCCTCTTCGTCCTGGACGTTTTCTGCCACTTGTCGCCGTCCTCTGGCCATTGATCACCGGCCTGGAGTTCGCAGCAGCAGGAGCAGTTGTCGATGTCCGACGCCAACCACTGCGTGCGATCCTCCAGGGTGATGTGACGATCCGTTATTCCTGGAACAGATGTTCCTCTATGCGTACACACCTAGACATGTGTGTTTAAGTGTAACTTCGACGCGAAACCAAACGCGTTATACGAAATTACGAGAATCTGCGAGATTAGGACTTGAACAGATAATTTAAACAGTGTGTAATAAATTATATAAGATTACCCTTGGTTAGTGAATTAAGAAACGAATCCAGTGCCAGTTGTCCCGTTGGTAACGCGGCGCTTAGAGCCCCGCTAAGCGCTAATAATTCCTGACACGTCATAGCTTCGTTTCCAGTCAACTCTGCTTGCATCTACGCGGCACAAATTATTCGTCAGTTCACGTGACAAATCGTTATTTCCTCAATGGAATTAGAAAAGTAACATGACCGTAAAACCAGTAAAAAATTAACAACCTTCTCCGCAGAAGAGCGTGAGACACATGTATATTTAAGTTAAGTGGTATGAGAGTGTCAGAAGTCAGAATGGAGCGACAGTCAGTGACACAGGCAGCCGCAGTAGTATATACCTGTATATGGTCTGGCAGTGGACTCGACCAAACGTTCCCGTCACCGGTCTGCGTCATTTTCTCGCTGGAGCACACGTTCCGTTCGCCGGGCGACACCGTCGTCGTTCCAGCCTGCAACGCGTTTCCGACGCTGTTACTGTTGCTGCCGTGCAGCAACACGACGTCGCTGAACATCACGCTGCTCCTTCTGCGATAGTGCGTGCAAGGCGGACTTAGCAGCGCGTTGTTTGTCTGAGAGCGTGGTGCAATTTAAAAGGGGAACGAATTAACTTTCGAATGTACGTAGAATCATACATAATGTACATCATTTTTGACGGGCCAGTTCTCTTTACAAAAATTCTGGCCATTCCGTATGACGAATTCTGTTCAATTTCGTTACACCGCGTGTACAGGATAAAATTCTTTTGAACCCGCTGTACTATTGAAACAGCACTTTATTTTAATTCAAAGGATCGTGTTGCAAATTTGGAAATGGGTTATTTAGCTTCGCTATAACTATTACTCTAACTAATTTATAAAGCGAACATTCCTCTAGTTTGCTAGTAATAACTAACTACTGCCTCTGAATTAAAAATGCAACATGCACAAAAGCTACCTGAATGCTAGCTTCGGTCGCGTTAGAAAGGACGTGCTCGCTCCCGTTGCACGACACCGAGGAATTTCGGTGCACGCCCAGGCAGTGGCACGCGTTCGACGAAACGTCCGCCTCGGATACCTCGGGACTGGCGCGAGGCGCGATCGCTAGATTCCCAGTGCTACCCCCGTTGCTGGTGACGGCAGTGGCGATGATCGCGGCTTGCGTAGTCGGAGGACTGTTAGCCGTGAAATCGGTGAGCGATCCACCGCCGCTACCGATCCCCTGTTGCTGCTGCTGCTGCTGCTGCTGATCCGTGTTCTCAAGCGCAGCCAACAGCCGAGGACATCTGTCATGGTGCAGTCTCCTGTCTACACAAATTAGCATATGATGGTGAAACGGGTCAGCTCGGCAATAATTAAAATAATAAAAATTTAATTACATTAACCAACGTAGTTTTTCAACTGCTAGTAGAATTGAATTCGTATTAACTTCAAATATTGCACGATGTTGAATTTCTTTAAATGCAATGTAAAGATTAGAAGACGAGCGGTATTAGAAATTGTATGTAAAATTTCCTGAATATTTGAAAGAGAAATGCGACGAACTTCTGAACAGTTATCTGATTTTAAAGTCGTAGAGACCATTGGAAGTTGGTCATCAATTTTTGAAACGAAACCCTGAAAGGACGCCGTGAGTTTAAAGAGAGCTTGATGAAAAGATGTGTATAATAAAGATTGAGATCGCTGCGGGGGATTAATCCCATTTATAAAGTACAATACTCTTACCTCCGGGTAATCTATTCGGATCAGAGCCGGGTGCGCCTCCCCTGAACGGGTGCCCGTGCTGTTGCTGTTCCCTAAGTAAATTCTGCTCACGTCTCTGCTGCCTTCTGTATAAATACACTCGGTACCTCTTCATTAACCGCCTCTTCCCCCTTCGCCACAGGTGTGCGATATATCTGGGAACACGCGGCAGCGATTATACCGGGACGGAACTGGCAAAAGACATTTACGAGTACCGCGCCCCTCTTCATTTCTCGAGTGGACCTCGATAGACCGTCGTTCAACCGTGTTTCAGGTCCGCTCATGCAACGTCCCGTAAATTTTCATTCAGAGAAATTTAATGGAACCGTTCAATGCCTCTGTTTCCGTTGCGATAATAGTTTTCACCGCGTTATATGTATTAATCGTGAAGTCGCATCTACGAAGGAGTCCGGGCATTGTCTGTTCTTGGAGAAACAGTTCTTTTCACTCTCGTTCGTTCCGATATCAATTCGTACTTGAATCAGTGCCGCGGGCTTGAACGCGGATTTCTCTGACACCGCCAAAGGTAAAAACGCACACGCTCGAATACTCACTTAACAATTTCCGCGTAACATGTAGTCGGCTCTGAAGTATTCGTCGACGACGCAAGGGTCGATGTCGAGTGAAAACGGGCACGCTCCAGTCGCATTCTCTCCATCTCTCGTTTCTTCGTCTCCGAGAATTGCGTTGCTATCACGACTAAGCACAGATTGATCATGAAGAAGGAACCGATCTATAACCCAAACAGAGTTTCGCTTTAAGCTTCGATGAAACGATGTTAGAAATCGTACGATGACACGTTCTTAATTCCAAGTATCAGGCAGTCGTTACGCGAAAACGTACCACGATTAAAAGGACGAAGTATATCCAGTCCCAAAAAGAATGAGCATCCTGCACGTAATACATGATGTCTGTCCATCCTTCCAGACTGATCACCTACAGTAACACGATTATTATACTATTTGTCCATTCGTATGAAAAAGAATATTTTCAAATTATCATATTTTCTTGAGTATATTAAATGCATTGACATTTAATCATAAGCTCGATTGAACGTTTCATTTCATAACGCGTAGGATTCGGAATTATTTTTGATCAAGATAAATGCGAAAGTTCCCGCCTTGAATAGCGGATATGTATCTAAAAATCCGGCTGCTGAGAGGGTTTCAATATCTGCGAGTACCGTAAGTAGGACAGACTCACGAGGAATATCGCGACCCAGGCGAGGCCGATATTGTCGAATGATATCGTTCCTTGGAAAGGATTGTTGCCCTGACCCTTGCACTCGGTGTAGTACTGATTCCAATTAACGCAGGTGTCGTTCGTAATAAACGTCGTGTCGTTGTTGATTAACGCTCTCCTATCGCACACCACGTTACCTAAAAACGGTGTTAGTTTTCAATAGCCTCGTTCACGGCGTCGCGTTTACTGAAAGACTTTTTTACTCGATACGATTCACACGCTCAGACATTACATCATATCCTCTATTCATCGAATTACATGCACCTAAAACTCACGGAGTATTTCAACGCGCTTCTCTCCGCGACAAATAAAAAGAAATAATTTTTAATTAAGGTCGAATTATAAAGAATTCGGAGATTTTATTCGAACAGCGGTTTAAATCCCCGCACTGTCAGGCATCGAAGTCTCTACGCGTGTCCAGTGTCAAACACCCGGTAGAGGGATTAAACGAAATCCAGTACAGCGAAAATAAAGCACGGGAGTTAAACGAGGAAGCTCGGCGCTTCCCGTGCTCTTTTCGCTAAACTTTCGGCGAATTCGCCTGGGAACAGGAACGAGACAAGGAAATGCGCCGACGGGCGAATCAGAGAACAAAAAAAAAAAAACAGAAATTCAAAGCGATTTCAGAAAAGAAGGAAATCGACGAAGCGTGCACTCACCGATCTTCAACGGCGGCAAGTTACTGCAAGAGTGCATTCCGTTGTCGTCGGGTCGCGAGCAAATGTAGTCCTGACCCTGATACTCGAAGAACTTCTCAAGGTCACTGGAAAAGCAACGAGCCGTGATTACATAAAAACAATCGTTCCCCGTGACACGACAAGCGTTCTCGCGTCGCCTTCGCTCATTATAATTAATTAAGAGGTTGCATATTTATATGTATATATATATATATACATGTAAACGTATATATATAATTATATTATGTATATATGCCTTATGCAACGGATGCATTCGTTACATGCTTCGTTTATGCGTGTACACCGTGTATATGCAGCGTGTGTTTCGCGTGACGTATTATGTATAAATGCTATGTATAACCTGTGTACGCGGTGCGTATACAATATGCCTGTGCAGGATGTTTTCATCGGAGTTATAGGTCAATCGGATGATGATGGGAAATGAAACTGTGGTTCACTAGATCTGCACGCTTGCATTTAATTTAGTCCGTTAAAAGGATCTACACGACGGCCAACTAAACTCTAGTTTCTACTAATTCATCGCAAACGAATAAGATAATGTCCCTTCGATCGCCCCGCTGAATTGACCTACAATTCTGAAACACCCTGCGCGGGATATTCCTACACGCAGGTGTACAAAACGCGCGCGCGCGCGTTTACTATGACGTAGATGTGCAATAATCGACGATAAGAGAAAAACAGGAGAGAGAGAAAAAAAAAAAAGAAAACCGAGAGACAAGAAGAACGAGAGCGAGTAATTGAGTTTGCGTGCACGTCGTCGTATCGGGGCGGCGAGAGAGAAATATCTGAGAGAAAAGAGAACAGGGGAAAAAAAGGAGAGCCGACGACGACGCCCCGTTGTAAGGACGGCGTTCCAGTGTCACCTGGTGGATGCAAGAAAGTAAACGACGCTCGCTTCTTCGGCTTCGAGGGCTGCTCTTATCGGGCCGCCTATTCATTTTCATCGCGCGTCCGCTAAAACAATGTCGACCGCCCCGACAAAAACCGCTTAAACAGAGCCACACCCCCGATACCGACCGCCGCCGTGTTTGTACACAGCTTGTTACACGAACGTCGACCATTTCGTACCGGTAAGCATCCCCTTTTTCATCACTGACTCTCGTTTCCTCGCTCCTCCTTCCTAATTTAAATACGCAAGATAGCCAGGGGACATCGTCGCGTTCCCGCTGCACCATCGTGAAATTTTACAACATCGCGTACGAACGTTGGCCGCAACGTCCTTATAAACGTGAACCACGTGAGCATAGCACAATGTATGTATAATACCAGGCTAATGCGTATGGAACGTAATTAACATACTAAATATTTAAATAGCTTCATTAGCCCGGATAATGATTATCTAAGTCGCTAATTCTAAATTCTATGAATGCTGCGTTTACAATTTTGTTACATCGTTTCGAATAATTTATAATTCTAATATTTTTTTATACACACTAAATCGGTTATCGTTTTAATTATCATATAAAAATCTATTAATGACGCCGTATATGTCACATCCGTTTAATAACCGATTATCCAGAAAAATAAGTGCCTCTTTTTATCATCTTTGACTCGAGTGACTGCATAGATTCTATATACTAATGCATGCTGGCCGTTTCATTTTCGTTACATTTAAATGGCAAAATTTCAAGCTGCACAAGCTTTGTTGACGACTTGGGCCAATTCTCATTGCCAAATGGTTTGTTTTCCAAAGTTTTTACGGAACAGAAGGAGAGCTGGAATGCGGAAAGTTCCTGATATCCGACTGGATTTAATTTATCAGACCCGCAGAAGTCTCGGTCTCATTTCGGACGTAATCGGGTTTCGATCCGTTCCAAGTTGTAAATTATTTCAGACCTGTGTACATATAGATAATACAAGTTCCTTCTGTTGTAAAGAGAGCCGAGATAACGAATTGTCGACTCGTTGTCAACGATTTGCCCATCTGCTGAGAACTCTCTGAAAGATTCTATTAAAGAAATATCGTTTCACTAGTCGAAACTCTTCTACTCTTATTTCCACGTAACTCGGTAAATATTTATGCCACTCGTTCACTCGCCACTTTCGCAAGTAATTTGATTCTACTTTTCCGTATTCCTCACTATTCCCGTTCAAAGCAGACAGCCTTCATTGACTCCGCGAATCAGGAGTTACAGCAGAGCGTGTTCGAGACCCACCGGGTACGTGAAAGTTAGATCAATACATATCGGACGGAGTAAATCACGGGAAAACAGAATGCGAAATCGGTCGATGCGATAAACTGGAAACTGGAAATCCACCAATTTATTTGTCGCTCGCCTAAAGCGAAATTATTAACAACGTTATATTCGTGCCGCGAGAAAATATCGCGAGCGTTGCGCGTAGCATCACCGTAAAATCGTCGTTTCTGTTTTCCCAATGCGGTGTCATGCATTAATAACGCGCTGCTGCTATTCGGCGGCCGGATACGTACTAACGTCTAAAACATTTTAAAGGGGTATTCCCGGTGAGGAATTCACTTTTAACGAGGCTCTCCGAACGCGTTCATTACATTTTAAACGTGTACTTCTTTCACGTTTACTGTTCTAGCATATCGTTTTTCAAATATGATTTCATTTTTTAATATAGAATTCTGTGACAGAAATGTTAAATGCTTTAAGGGACGTCACATTCGTACGAAATTTAGAAACGCTACAATAAACGCAAGTTAGAAGGTGCAGTAGATTTGGTCTGTTCCGAGTCAGACGCGTATCGACGAGAAAGCAAACGCGTCACTCAAGGGAAAGTAAGACGAGAGAAAGGATCACGAATACCCCCTTAAGCACCGACTCTGTCGCTAACATAAAGATAACGCATTAACGGCGCTCGTGCAACCATTAGACTACCCCTAATGGAAGCCCTAACTTTTAGTTAGATGGCACAGCTACGTGTGCTCGTTCCACGTTCGCGATGCGATGGTGCTGAAAGTGCTGTTCTTATTCAAAAACCGAGGAGTCAAGAAAAAAGGATAGCTAATAAAACGATGGCTAATGGTGGCTGTCGCAAGTGTGCGGGTGCTGTCTATCGTTTGTTTCTGTGTAAACGTACGCTTGTACTGGCCGTGTCTGAGTTGCTACACTGTACATTTTTACAAGTATCCCTTAACTGCCACTGCAATATAATACAATTTGCATTATAATTACGAAAAAATTGCGATTTACCGTCCCAGGACACATAGTAATAAACAAGGTTTAAGCAAGACCATAAGAAGTCGATAGAAACAATTGCAGTCAGATTAGAAATGGAAATTAGAAAGGTCTCTCGTGATTCAAGGATTTTAGAAGATTGTAAACCATATCGTTTGGCGTTGAGTAAGTTATTGGCTCAGTTTCGCTGTAAATGTTTATTGGAATAATCGATATTTACCTATCAGCCGAGGTAAACGAGAGCGTATTGTTTAAAAATGGCTCGCCGTGTACAGCGAACAGGCTCGTTGCGGAAGTTTAATAATTACACGTACGGGGAAGAGTAAATATATCTTCTACGCAAACTTACTATGAGAAAAAACATTCATACGCTTCTCTCATCCGTCATTTTAAACGCGGCCACTAATTTCTGTAACAAAAGTCGGTCCTGTGTATTACTGGCGGAAGTAGAAAATCGAACTGATTCGACGTAACGTTTTTAATCTGTTATAAAAACGTTCAACATTTGCACATACGATAAAACTTGCTTTAAATGGATGAATGAAATATCGCCAGCATGCTTGACTATTTTTATTATAACCTTTTAATAAAAAGCGCTTACGTTTATACAACATTCTTTCACACTTTCATTCATGGAACATTGATTATTTAACTTTCGAACGCACCGCGTGGGAATATAAACTGCAACAAACCGAACAGAATTTTTATAAACCATTAAGGGAACGGAAAAAAACTTGTGCTTACTGAATGAATCTGAACATTCGATGTTTTCAACAAGGATAAACGTCCCTGTTTCGGTGTCAATTTTTTTATACTACATTCGACTGTAGAATATTTGGATTTTGTCGGTTCTAAAGTAAACGCAACACGTGTCTATCGTGTACAGAATCCTCCTTATGATCAATTAATGCTTCACGATACCGAATACATCGTCGATTGAACACACACGCGTTTATAGTGACGTGCATCGTTTGAACCGTTCGGTTATGTACATACGGGCGTGTACACACGCGCGTACATGTGCAGGTCGCCGATTTTCAGTTTGACACGCGTGTCTACGCGTCCGACGAAACCGCAGCTTCAAGAAACATGCCATACATGGAACAGGCTGGGCAAACAGTCTCCGATTCCGCCTCGCTACCGCAAACGCACACAGGAAACTGACAACGAACGCCCAGTTGAAAGGGTTGCACCAATAAAGAGACAGCTTCATCTTCCATGCATTTTTTATATAATGTAATCAAGATTAGCATATTAAAATCACGTATAAGCATTGTTTCTTATTTTATTATTCTTATTCAATTGTCACTGATCTTTTCCTCAGACATGACTTAGTAAAGAATAATGCAAAAGAAATTTTAAGAAATAGTTCGGAAATATAAGATTTACTATCAAGAGTGGCTTAATAAATTATAGTAGAAAATAAGAGGCTCTGATAGACGTTCGTTTGGAGTTTCCTTATTTAAATCCCTGCTCGGTTCACCGCAATGCGTTTCCGGTAGCAAACGAGCCTGACTGTTCTCGAAAGCACCGTGAGATGAAGCTCGATTTCACGGGTAAGCGAGAATCCTAAAGGCGCGTAACACGGCAGAAGTCGATAAACGATTCAAAATAGCTGCCACGTAAACCAACCACGAAGTAGACCTCGCGAGTAGATCGCGCGTTTAATTAGCTCCGGGATGGATTTGGAGCTCCGGTTCCCCAAGCTCGGTGCTCGGCTCAACGCAGGGCTCCTCGACCACTCTAGCATCGCGGGTACAAACCCGTAAATCATCAAATTAACAGCTACACCGATTGACGTTACTAAACTTAGCCCTATCGTGCGGCCTATGGACTGAACAATTTTTATGCTCGTATCTTTGGAATTTCTGCCTATTAATAGTCCAAAACTGTTTTCTGATTTATATTCTCTTTAGATGTGCTATGAATTTTATTATTTTCAACTTGGGATTTGGCGAATTCATCTTTTCGATAGAGGTGCATGTACAAGGCCTTGTACTAAAGGGAAACAGGAAATTGTGGAAGCTCGTCTCTCTGAGTTATTAAGGAATACATTAATTAGACCTTAATTAGGACAAATGGAATTGGAAAGGGGTGAACCCAAAGGGCGGAGGAAGAACAGGTAGCCAGGCGATCCGGTGTTTCCACACTTATTTCGAGTCGCGATCCCCTTTTACAACAGTGAAATTGCAACTGAAATATTATTAAAATAAGGAAATCTAAATCGTGAGGAGAGAAAGTTCGATTACGAACGAACATCGATTTGGGTCATGAAAAACCGGATGTTTGATCAAAGTGGTAAACTCGGGGGTGCGTTGTACACGACATGGATGTGCTATAGTATTTACTCAAAATGCAATCGTGACGTAATGTTTGCGGCAAATGCGTGTTGACGTAAGAAACGATGAGACGTATTTTCCTGCCTGTCGAACGGGAACGTCCTGTTTTCCGTAAAACACGTCAACAACCTTCTAAAAGGCACTTTGCGACCCCGTCGGGGGTTCACGACTCGTCGACGACCGGCGGGGAACAGATCTTGTAATAAAAAAAAAGGGAAGAAAGAAAGAAGCGAGTAGAAGGAAGTGGTGGCGGAAGAGACGCGTGGCGTAAAGTAGGTGATGCGAGTAGTATCGAGACTAAGAGGACAGATAGAACATCGATTTTCCGTGCACCGAAAGAAATAGAGAGGGCAGAGAATCGCATGAGATTAAGAAGAAGACAGCGGCTGTGGAGAATAATGCATTCTGAGCTCGACACTTGTGCGCAGAGAGTACCTAGGCGTTTAGAGACGGTACACATAAAATATAATTTCCAGTGAGAAAAACGAAATTATCGATATATCGTTCGCATTCGTGTCGTACGTTCCCAAGCCCGCGGTAGGTACATTGCAAACGACACATAACGGTGTTGTATAATATACACAATCGGCGGAGACTGCGGTAACCGCAGCCCGTCGGGGTTATGACACGAGTTTATGCAAAATGACGGTACACGACAGATTGGAGATGCAGAGACGGGTAAAATACCGTTTCGAAATAATACAGTGTGACGCGTGCGCCGCATTTTACCGTTGACAAATTGTTGATCGCGTGCTCGTTCACGGATTAAAGCCGGGTATTCATCTGAGCACGAATGCGAACGAGGCAAGGCGAGTCCGAACAAATGCCTCGTTTTGTCTCGTTTGTAAAATTTTTCTTCGCGAACGAAGTCTGCCGAGGCAACGAACGAGACAGTGATCCAAAGCGAACGCAGTGAACGATGATCCAGCGAGATAGGCAAGGTACGTGGAACGTAGACGAATGCCGTCCATACGTAACCAAATTTTTCTTTGAAGTACCGACTCCGATCGGCTCGGGTCCCGAATGCCTCAGTCTGTGCGGCGAACAGCCGAATGCAGTTTGCCGCGCCTCGGTTACACGTCCACATATGTATGCTTGTTCGGCCTCGCCTTGCCTCGTTCGCATTCGTGCTCAGATAAATACCCGGCTTAACCCTTTGACGGTAGCCGCATTCCCAGGTTCATTATCATTCGAGAATAAACGAATGCTACGAAATGCATGACGCTTTGTCGAAATACAAACAAATTGAAAACAAAGTTTTAATTACTGCTTATTATGTTACATATAATACAGCGTCAAGGGGTTAAAATAAATGTGTGCACAGCCACTAGCCAGTTGGAATCGAGTACAATCTCTGTGTTATCACATGGTTATTAACATAGAATTCCTTCAATTACAATAACATCGAAGTTGTTTTATTTTATACTTTGCACTAGGGGCTGTGGACAAGCTGTGGTGGAGTCAGAAAGTTGTTGAAGTATAAAATTTGTAATCGGTTCGAAATAGTATTTTATTCACCTCTGGGCAAGGTGGCATGCTCTATATTTGGTATACACACTAGAAATACATCTGTACACTCGTTACCGTGATCAAGAGCAAGACAGAGAGTATAAATAATTATGTACATATGCACGTGACGTGACTTATGCACGTACTATACATACACGTATATGCACACACGGACAATGCACGCCTATGCATATTGTATGCGTGAATTCGTATAGATTTAGATATGTATATTTATAATATATGTACGTATGCATAGCACATTGTTCTCTACTAGAGCTTACTAAATGCGTGATCGAACCGAGTACTCGTCCGAGAGAAACCTGCAACAGCGAAACAATAGCCTGTCACTGTCCCCTAAAGTCATGTACTTACGTCTAATGAAAGTCTAAGCTTTTCTTATCGGACAGAGACGGGAAACAAACAAGATAAAGATCAATTTTTATCAACGACGATCCATAAACGTCGATCGATCTTCATCGTTCCCGGCTTTGCCAGGCTGGTATTATCGCTCCTAGTAAAACAGGAATCTCGTTAGTCGTTTTTTGTGTTAAAAACTCTAACTGAATTCCAATGCAGATCCATTACTACCGATTCCTATAAATTGATATCTACCATGATTTTTGTGAAAGTTTTATACAGGGCAGTGAAATTCAGAGCATGTACTCAAAACTTATTCAATAAATACTGTGTTTGACTCTTAAAAAAAAAGAAAAGAATGATTTTCTTATATTAATAGACGATTGTCATAATTATCCAGCGATTATCAGAAGTAAATATTTTATCGAGAAAACAGAAGTTCTACTCAGTGAGAACTGACAATATTTTTCCACGAGTAAACATTATAGCACGAGTGATACTAACTTCGAAACAAAGTTTCTCCCGCGACTTAACTCTCGTTTATTCCCGGTTAATGATAAGCATGCCAATTTATTCAAACGTCTACTGGCAACGACCAAGTTTAGTTTTGGATAAAAATGATCGAACAGCAAACATGAATCCTTGTAAAGTCTCCTTTTTCACCAGCCTGTACGCCGGAGCAGCGTGTCCAGCGCGTGAAACGCGTCTAATAATTCAAAAAACTGTTTAAACGAGGAAGAACGAAACGCGCGGAACCGGTTATAAAGCGTTTAACCGTGGCCGCGCCGCGAACGCGAAACATCTGGCAACGAGCGCGTGTCGAGGTTTCCGTTTTTCTCCTCTTCTTCTTTTTTTAATAGTGCGTTTCCATTAGCGATTCTCGGTGTTCTCAGCGACGATTGGCAGTACAGCGGGAGTAAATGATTCACATTTTATGGCTGACGTGTGAACCGCTTGTAAAGGAAATCGCAATAACTTCGCACGGCCGTTTTCCATCAGAGTCTATCTATAGTCGGCAAGAAATAGCGGTTGGAAACAGCGGTCCTTCACACCTCGAACAATCTCTGGCGCGTGCAACCAGAAATTTAACGCATTCCTGCGACTCGAAGAACGGCAAAGGGAACAAACGTTTTACAGGATAAAGTCGACGGTATAGTAACCGAGTCTGAGAAGTTTAGTTTCAGAAACGTATCAACAGAGATATTCATAATCTCTGAGCACGAGTATAACACGTTAGTATTAGGACCGAGAAGTTCAACACGAAAATTGGTTCACAATCCTCCTTTCGTGCTTGCTCTTCTAATTAAAGCGTAAACGTCTCTGAAACTGAATTAACCATCAATTGTTAAACCAGTAATTGTAGGGACAGTGAACACCATTTAAACACCGCGCGGTGGTAAAATGAAATGTTTTTTATCGAAATATGATCTCGAGGAGAAATGAGATAGCTGTATTTTACGCGGTGGTTCGCGACCGTGAATGGAAATCGAGTGAGCTCGGGTCACAAAGAGATGTGAGAAATTGGCCGAAGAAAGAGATGAGTAAGTGTCGCGTGAAATAGAGACGTGCCGAGCGGAAAGAAATCGCAGCGAACGGGAAAACTTCAATTTACTTGAAGCGATACGTTACGAGCTATTTCGCCATGCATCCCAACGTTATTGCGAATATAGATATGTACGTGTGTACCCCGAACGTATAGACACGTTCGTTTTAAAGGAGATGCGACTACGTACCCACGCATCCGCTGTCCATACTTTGTCAAAGTGGAAGTCTTGTTCGAGCATTGTTTTGTAAAACAATAATGCAGCGAACGGTTTAGCGCTAAAGAGAGGCGGATGAAATTTCTGCGTCAAGTTATAATTAGACAGACTAAGCATTTTAAATTGGTCTGTTAATATATCGAAGAGATCAGCTGCATAGCGTTTGAAACCACGTGCACAGTAATAAGAATGGTGCGCAGAGTGTATCGAGTATCATTAGAAACATATTTAATTACCGAGTCACTACGTAAACCTCGATCGATCAGAGAAGATTTTCAAAATTCACATACGATTTTAAACGTGAAGAGCGTCACTTACGGAATGACCCGATAATTAGAACCGGGGGAAGATTTCGTCCGCGGGATCATTAAAAATAATTTCTGTTCTACGAAAAGCTGAGAAACGTGGATGACGTTAAAGACAGGGGAAAAAAAACTGGCAGCCACGACTGAAAACGTATGTTAGACAGGTTTTCCGTCGCGGCCGAAGAAAATAAAATTGAGTCCTCAGCGATGGAAGGTTCTCCGCGGGAGTGTTCGACGAGTACCACGTGCAAATAATCAGTGAGTGAATATCAACGGGTACGTGCATATCCACGTATGCATGTACGGGTGTAAGTAGACGTAGAGCCGAAAATAAATGAGCGGAAATACGTGGACGTAACGTATTCGATAACGAACGCGAAATATGTACGCCACGCGCGCCGCCGTGGATCGTCGAGAAATCCCGCTGAATTGGATCGCGGCGGTTACAAAAAATTCGGAATCGTGCGAATGCTGCGTATGTAACGAACAGACATTAAAAACCGAATGATCAGGCAGTCTGGGTTCCCGAGCGTAGAACATCAAAAATTCTGTTCAAAATCACGTTGGTGAGAACTCGAAAAAAAATTGGTGGAAGGACGAATCCGTTCGCACGTGTTCGGCGGTGGTGTTAATACTTATCCAGTCGCGTGAACCATGTATTGCACCATCCTCTGGAAATAGAGCACGGTTTATCCGAGCGCAATGTAGCCCGGCGTACGCGCGTTTCAACGTTGACTCGGCGACGCGGAGTGAGTAAGAAGTGGATCAAAAATATGCGGGTAGGAGGAACAAGAGAGTGAAAGAGCGAGAGTGAGAAACGGATAACAGGCAGAGAGTTAAAACGAGAAAGAAGGACAGAGAATGGATGCAAGTAAAACGTAATACACAGTAACAATAAACGAACCGGGCGAATTTATCGCCTCGGATACGGTGGAACGTGAAGAAACTAATAAATGAATATAGTAGAACGTGGTAAATAGAATAGAATACGTCGCGGTTGCGACGATGGACTTACTCGGGATATTTGACGCCGGGCTCGGCCCTCAGGAAGCACCGTTGACGCAGGATACCCTCCCACAGTTGAACGCCGACGATACCGAATATAAAGAAGACGAAGAAGCACAGCAGGAGCACGTTGCCCAACATAGGAAGAGTGTCGAGCAGCAGCATCACCAGTATCCGCATACCTGGCCGGGAACAAAAACGCGAACACCGCGATGTTTAAGTCTCGTGGACTAAAAGAATGGAATTTAGATTCGTGTGTTTACGGAGAACGGTCCCGCGGTAACGTCGTCGTTTCGCCGGTAATTAGACAAACAGAGGATCTCTCTATTTGCGTCGACGTTCCGCTTCGAATTAGACAAATAAAGGATTCCTCTATTTAAGTCGTTTCTCGCTAGGAACTGTATAAATAAAGGATTTAAGGGTAGGAGGGAAATAATGTTATCTGGATGGCGAGTCAGAAACAGCGGTAGGTAATTGTGTTTACAGGAAATACCGCGAGCCACTGTGTTTGTACTGGCACTTAAATACCGATCGATTCTAGATGATCGAAGAGTAGTCGATTCTCTTCTTTTCTCAGAATTCTCGTATTGCAATTAAATAGTCTTTAGTAGACAAAATACGGTTGCAAGGACTACGTATTTAATGGATGCACTCGCATTTCATTTGTCTCGTGGGTACATTCGGCAGGATTTCAAATATAGTTTCGCGTGACCTTATTTACAGAAACCGCAATTTTAAGTACAACTGCGGACCACTGTTCGAAAGACTTTTAAGCGATTGCATCGTTTAAGTACGTAGTACATGCTTTTTAGGAACTATGTTTATCTTAGAAAACAGTTCGCTGATGAAACGCATAAATATTCGAATGACAGGGTTGGATAAAATGTTTCGTACTCACTTGGTATTCTGTTGATGGCACGTAGTGGTCTCAGGACTCTTATTGTCCTTATCGCTGATAAATTCATGTTCTCTACGTTCAAACAATACTCCAAAGCACTGCAATAAAAACGAGTAGAAATTGTTCATTCAGCTTTTGTAACGGCACGTTTTGTTTCAAATTTACACCAAGGAGAACACTACTTAAGGATGTATTGGCTATACAGTAAATACCAAAAGTTTATGCACTTTAGAAACGCATTTTTTAAAAAGAAATCAGACGTCGGAAAAACATTGCTAATAATAAACAACAACAAAAAATTTTCGATTTTTCCGAGATTTTTCCGCCACTCTTTAGTAATCTCTCCTCGGCGGTATTTGATTTTCAAATATCCAATATACTCCCTGAAAGAGCTGTCAGTACGCGTTCGGTCAGTATTTGCATTATTTTTCTGAAACGAAGCCGAGCTTAACCGTGGCTTTGCGTAAAATTGGCTAAACGTTGTCGCATTATCAATTTCGCGAAACCCGTGGCTAAGTACATCCGAAACTCGCGCGATTAACTTTATCCCGCGTGACATCGTTCAATCCGCGAAACTTTATTTCAGAGTAAACTTGCCGCGAAACGTGTTTCCAGCCTCGCTTGTATTCGCGCAACGTCACGTCGCCGGAATTAACTGAAACTTTTGGAGAAGCGACTTCGTCAGCCGTTGGTGTGCCAAAATAAAAATTTACTTCCGAACTCGTCCCAATCCCCCACGTTCTTCTTTCCTCTTACCTCCGACTTTGTTCCTTTACAGTTCCATCAACGATAAACCGATTTAAAAATATTATCGTAATTTCTATAAAAAAAATCTCCAATGAGAATTAATAACGTTCATAAATAACACTATGTTTGGAATAACAAATTAATTTCGCCGGTGTATAATAATAAATAAATATCTTTAGCCGGTGCGTGCATCGTTTTTTATAGATTAAGAAATTATGAACGAAGACCTTTAAAATCGAGTTCTGACATGAATTTTGCATCTTACGTTTAGGTGCAGGAGGCCGTGGATAAAAAGGACCGACATTATTTTTTCACGTATTGCGCAACGCCCGAGGTGTGTACGTGTCAGAAGGACTCTGCGGCGGCGGCGAGGGCTCAAGATCGTGACGTTGCGTGTGCGACGGGCACCGGTGACAGAGAAATAATTAACAAGCACTCACCCAGCCGCCACTATGAAGAAGTCCAATCTATTCCAGGAGTCGGCGAGGTAAGTCCCCTTCCCGTAAATGCCCATCGCGACCATTTTGATCGTCATCTCGAGGGCGAAGAAGGCGAAGATGATGTCGTCGAACATCTGTAAACCGGTGCAACCACGAACGTAGCCGATTAGAGGCGTGCGAAACACCCTTAACCCGATCGGGCGTAATTGATCAAGGACTCTAGACCAGAAGCGGCAGCCCTGGATACCATTAGCCGTGTTCAACCGCCAATTGACGCTTTCTCGTGTTTGCCTTTCCTTTTCCGTGTAAAATCAAACCGGAGAACCAGGACAAACAACGCAATTAATCAATCCCGTTGTTCCGTGCTACTTCCTCGAGTATTTTTTCAGACCTCCGTTACCGAACCTTGAAAGTTTCGTAGCAAGGGTTTCTGTTTCTCGTTCGATCGCGAAACAAACTCTTCTCGCGTTCTTCTTTGGAAGAAAATAGGCCAGCTTTTCGTTGTTCGTAAACGAAATACGCGCGAAATAATTATAAACTACGTCTCGTCTCATCGATTCTAAATGATCAAATAACGTTTGGAATTTTAATATATTAATTATTTAATCCACGTCAGAGCAATTCCTCATCCTTGATTTCCGTGCTAGAGATTAATGAGGCTGATAGAAAAGTTTCCACGATTAATTGAGCTAGCGACATTCAATGCAGACCACTAATTAATCTCCTCTAATTAATCGATCTACATCGATTCTAAATGATCAAATAACGTTTGGAATTTTAATATATTAATTATTTAATCCACGTCAGAGCAATTCCTCATCCTTGATTTCCGTGCTAGAGATTAATGAGGCTGATAGAAAAGTTTCCACGATTAATTGAGCTAGCGACATTCAATGCAGACCACTAATTAATCTCCTCTAATTAATCGATCTATATATAAAATAATTTAAATTCAATCTGTTAATGTCACGACTATCTCTCTAAATATAAATAATTAATTTTCATTAATTTACATAGTCTGCTGATCGATCGACTGTCTAAGATTGTTTATCACCCTTAATCTCTGTAAATTAATTGAGAGTAAAATGTCTAAGCTGCTCAGAACGAATCTAATGCCAGAAAACACGTAGACAATACCTGTACCGGGTGGCAATTAAATCCTATCGTTAATTAAAATTTATTCAACGCTGCTGCGGTGGCGCAGCGGTGAAGAGACGCGAGACGAGACAAAGAAAAAGAGAAGGTCGCGACTTCCAGTCGAAACCACGGCACAACGAGCTCTTTATGTGTATCGTGACGCACGGGATTGTAATTGCGACTCTTTCGCCTCGCGAAATCCAAATTTGACAGCGTGAAAATTGCAAGCGGGTATACAAGGTCAAACACGATTTCGCTTTTTTTTTTTCAAATCCTATACGGATTACGTATATCTTCGATGCGTCAAGTGTAGTTTATAGTTTCACGGATTTTAACAATAAAAATTTTGCGTCGTGCATAAAAGTTGTTACGTACTTGTAATATTTTACAACGGTTGGTCACGCATTGATCGTCGACGCACGGTTGATACATCCCCAGCGTGATGCAGTTTAAAAGAATTACCATCATGCTCACTCTCTCGAACCACGTGATTCTTTGTTAAGGAAAATTGCTATGTTCCAAGTATTTTATAAGTATAAAATTACAGGAAAGCTCATGATCATTAAATAAATGTAAAAATAAATAGTAAATTAAGTGCTAATTAAGAATGATGATAGAGAAATTAATTTGAACATTTTAATACATACTTCCTTATACATTATGCTTTAATGGGATTAATAGTAATGTCTGCTCGTCTCGTGAGAATGAAATTGTTAGCTTAAAAGACAGCTTTCCGACGTTCTCCTCGTTCCAATAAATAATTAGAAAGTGGTTCTACTCGCAGCTACCAATTACGATATTGAGTCTTCATTCATTATTTGCATATACGATATTAGCTATCGTGCTAATTGATTTCTAAGTAGATAAGCTTTTAATTTGCGTCTTCCTACGTTTCTCGATTATATTAACTAAATAAAAAAGGAAAAAATAATACTATTTTGGCGGTCGCGTATTAAAGCGTGGGCACGGTAAAGAGACAATACCGCAAAGTATAGTTCTGAAGTTTAAAAAAGCTCGCCGAAATGAAGTGGCCACGCAAAACATTTTATGTGTTAAAGTTAGATGAAATATACTGTACATTACTCAGGAAACTTTCAACTATTCCCGACGAAAGAACAAGAAAATACTTTTAAACTGAGCATTAATTAAAAAGTTGGATAACATCTTAATAATTGATGTAACACGTAATGATAAAAAACGAGACTTATCAAGTGCAAAATATAAACAGTGTCTGGTTGAAAGATAGATTGTTAAATTGCATAACGTTACGTATTTCGTTTATTTGCGAGATGTTGTTTCAACCAGTACGAGCTTCACATCGATGATCGTAGATAAATAGCCTGGGGATTAAAGAAGCCAGGGAAGGTTTTATTGGAATTACTCGATCATAAAACAATTAGCCGAACACGCGCCGCAAAACAATACAACCCTTCATTTCATCCGCCATTGAGTCTCGATTGGAACAAAACGAATCAGCTGATCGGTTCCACCTTTTATTTTTCCATTCCTATCCGGTACAATTCCTTCGTTAGCCAAACCCGGGGGTATATAAACTATAGCGTTCCTGATCCAGCGACTGTTCTACCCTTGAGACCATTCGCAACTATTATTACCACCCCGTCGCGTTGCGTCACGCCAATTTAGCCGGCTGTTCTGACATTTCACCATCGTCGGTGTCGTCACGAAACGATCGATCGATGAGACAAGGCATAACTGTAATCTCGCTGATCGATCACGGTTGCCAAGTGACTATTAACCTAAACACTATCCTCCTTGGTGCGTGACTCGGCTGGGTAGGGTTCTTTTAGCGTCAGATAAACACCGTAACGTTGTTTCATATCGAAACGACACCACCTTCGTCGATATTATTCGCGAGAACGGCCGCCGCCGAATGGCCGTGTTTTTAAACGAACGGCCCCTTATCTGAGCCGTTGTGCGAAACGAGCGTCGCAAAATCCATGAACGGGCGATGATTTCGAGCAGGAAGCGATGAGAGACGTTCAAAGAGAAGACGTTTCGAGAGATTATCTAAATATTAGGACACGCAGCTCAACGTTGATTCGTGATTTCTTAATCAACAATTCTATGTTTAATCCGCTCCTCGCCAAACTGACATCGTAACGTCTCAATCGAGGAAGTCTGGAAACGAGAAATTGAAATTTCACGGAGAAAATTTGTTAACGAAACTCGTTCACTGAATTATTTAGAGGCGATTTTATGAAGTCGATGCTGTATTTCACAGTTAGATAAACTGATTGCGAAAACCGTGGGAGGAAATTTTTACCCTCGAGGCGCTGGCAATACTTATAAATTATGAGGTGCATTATATTTCATCGTTGAAAGAAGTGATAAATCAATATTCAGGAAAACTGCAGGGAACTTAAAATTGGGGATGCGGATAAAATTGCTCCTAGCGAATGCGAGGAAACTTGGAAATGCCCGCTGTACGACTATATCGCAGGCAACGAACCGCGTGGGAACTAGGCGACTGACCAAGTTTCGATTGTTACGACCGAAGGAGAGACCGTGGTCAGCGCGTTCTTTGGAAATAACTTGAAATATATGGACGAACCTTGGGCAGACTGATAAACCTTAGATGGATGGTCGATAGACGCGTGAGATTTACGACTTGTTTGGGACGCGGGCATAAAAATCCAATCGAAGCGATAAGTCTCATGTATGAACTGGAATTTTATAGAGCGATAAAAGCGGCGGATTTTCAAATCGCAGGGGGCGAACAATCGCGATCGTGACGAGCTCGTGACACGACCCTGCACGCGATGCTTCGTCACGATACGTTACCAGGCCACTGACACTACGTTATTACGTGCAGCATGGCACGAGGCTGATGGCCTTCCTAGCATGCGAACGTTTCTAACGATCATGTTCCGATTTACTCTGGCAATTAACTCTCGAAATATATTTCTGCGCCAGGCACGAGAGATCACATTGCGTACCAACTGTAACGATTCATTATTTAACGTCTGACCCTGTGTCGTGACTTTGAACATTTTCGAGATCAACGAAGGCATTGGCAGTGATACGATCTGAAGGCAACTCGTGTCCAATTGTTTTACTTTTCTTGAAGCGACCGATTCACTTGTCCGATGATAAACAGCCGACATAAATCCCGACTGCTACCTACAAATTATTTAGCTTCGCCCCGGATTCAGGCCGGGGGATTTATTTTCCGAGCGCCGTACAGCTCGACGCCGCGGCTCGCCGCCGCCGTTGCCGTACAACGCGTCGAATCTAATTCATTTGATGTACGTCCGTGGAAATGAGAGCCAGAAAGCTCCGCCGTTCGTTCTTGTTCCTACAATAGCGGCAGCCTATTGGAAATTTATGTTTGCAATTCTATCACTTTCCCATCAATGTCAGACCCAGTTTTAACGTCCGCCGCGCCGTTCGCTACCGTGAAATATGAAAGCAGGTATCCAATTCCTCCGATCAACCTTCTGGCAATAACTACTTCCACAAAACTTGAACGCCACCCACAAATGGATACGACCTTACGTCGTTCATTATTACTTCTTTAAATGATCTTCAAAAATCTTGGAAATTAATTCTTTAAAAAAAGAAACAATTAAAAACAGATTAAGGCAGTAAATGAGTGAACAGTAACAATCGACTGTTGAACTCGTTTTATATGCTTCGAAATGTAGGAACGATTCTGCAGAGCTTTTGATACAATTCTACAGACGGTGATTAAACGGCATTAAGTCCGGAGATTTCGCTAATCCCGGTATTAGTTCCGCGTGATCAATTTAACACCTACTTTAATATACGATCACAGAGTCTTCGGTTCTGTCAATATTAATCAGAATGGATTACGCTGTAATTTGCGCATCATTTCCCTGCATCAAGCAATTCTGCAGAGGATATCCAATCTGTATGAAAACATGTTTCACGTAGAAATTGAATAGTTCAACGTATATTCGTATTAAATTTTTCGTAAGGTCGGAGAACATTTTATAAATTCGTAATAATATGGTAGAAAAAAGATGAAGCAATATGAGATATGAGATGATATAAAAGAGGATTATGTATAATAGAACAATGAAAGTATCTAACGAACACGCTTTTATGCATTACGTATTTGCAGAGATAGTAAAAAATAGAACACGCGGAATATGGAAAGCGCGTATCACTGCTTTTCAAATAAATTCCTGCCCTTATTTTCTACATCGACGTTACAAAGTCTAATGGACAAGAGGTGTAATGGGAAATCTGGTCGGAGGAACAGCTGACTAGCCTCGAATGCTCTTTGGACGGGGTCAAAGATTTATGTCGGAGGTCCATCGGGGTAAGAACCGAACCGGATGGGGGACGTTTCCTTGGACAAATCGCGAGAAGCCCGCCGCGTTATCTACTTTCCACAAACATGCGGAGTGTGTCCGATCAATAAACGGCTGGCCTCCGCCAGGCTCTCTCCTCCGGTGCGGTGTAACCGTCGAATCTTGCCGCGGCGCGTCTCGCTCCGTTGAATGCAAAAGAGTAGAGAACACAGTCAGCCACGGTGGTTTCACGGTGGCGAAGCCGCGTTACTTTAAAAAAATACGGACGGATTCGCCGGCAATGTTGCAGACGTAATCTCGCCCGAGTCGACGCCGCTCGTTTCATCGACACGTTGAAATCACCGACGGCGTTTGCTTAGCTGGTGTTAAGCTTCTTTCGCGGGTGAAGCACGCGAGACTAAATGCACGTACGATTAAACTAGGCGAACATGTGCAAGCGTTCGTCATGAGTATATCGTACCTTGTGAACGATAATAATTGTCAGATGGTTAAATAGGAAAACCAGAACAGAAGCTCTGTTCCATTTACTATAGACTGTATTTTATGCGAGAAATGAAATGATCGTTGATCGTTTGAAGTTAACCCGGCGGAGATCACGTCCACGAGATTCGACGCGTATAGAAACTGGAGCAACAGTTTGCCTCGAATTCCCTGTCTCTTTGTGAGTCAGTCCTCGGAGACAAAAAGTTCTTTGCCAAACACATATAATAAGTAACGAAAATTTCTCTTTCAAGTAACCCGCTGCATACGTTATGTATATATTTACATAACAGGGCTATTTTACAAATACCAAATATTTACCGTGTAGAAGGAATAAAACCAGAAAATTATGCTGAGGAGTGATGTGGTAATTCTGTAAACACGCGAAACGTTTGTTCAGCAAGATAAAAACTGCCTATGTTTTATCCTGACTCGTGCGCCAATTAATACCAGGAAACGCTTACTAATTACGGAACTCTTTAATCTCTGCGGGCTGACCTATTGTGTGGAGGGTAGGTAATCCCGGATAAATCGTAACGAGTACGATTTTCGACGATGTGTCGGAGAACGCGGACGGAGCCACGCGTCCCGGCAAGAAAATAACGAACCTAACGACGCTATTTATGATTGAGCCTGTGCACGATAAATTGTTCCGCGTTTCGGTGGAGAAAACGCGGTACGCCGGCGGAGAGGTAAATTTAGTCACGCA